GTAGTACCATTTTGGTACCATCAGTTGAATTATTGCCAAAGAGATTAAAATCCTTAGTTTGATAAGCAGTCAGAATATACTAGTAGTGCTCAAGTGCTCTCTTTTATTCTGGAACACACAGAGCGTAAACATAATAATGACTGCAACCAGACAAAATGTTTGAGAGTATTATTTCAAGATTAAAAATGTCCGTTTTTGAAAATGCTGTTTGATTGGCTGTTTCTGAGGTTTATGAAAACCGACAATCATTTTTTTCCCTCCCTTTCTTCCCCATTTTCCCATTTCAATGATAAAAATGAAAAGGGGAAGGAAAGAAAAAAGGGAGGGAGAAAACAGGGAAAGAGAATGAAGACAGAAAAAAAAAATACCACAAAGATTTTAGCTAAAGGGTTTTAATGCCTTTAAAAAAACAGTAATCAGAGCTTTCTGAACATTCGCTCGCTCACTCGCTTGCTTGCTTTCATCATTTCTGTTCAGACAGCCCCTAAGTGCATGAGAAGCGCAACTGAAATCTGAATAACAGGCTACCTACTCCTTTTCGCATCTCATTTTGAAAGGACAGGTCTACCAGAGGCTGGGTATAGTCAAGAAACAAACTTTCTTGATCTAATGAATCCATCATCATGTATATGTCCTCCTTGGAAAGAAAAAAGTTAACATAACTCTTCATGGCATACGCAAATTGTTTTGTGGCATTTACTGCAGAGTGAAGACTGCTGCTTAATCATAGAGTGAGCCAGTAGCAGCATAACTTTCATGGGAACTACCACTACCCACAATGTAACTGCTGTACCCAATAAATAAAATTCAGGCTGCCAGTTCAGATTGTTGTCTGCATAACCTCTCTGAATGAAAACTCCCTGGAAGGCCTAGAAAATGCCATGCAGAGTATTCCAAAATGGATCCTGTAATCTATGTTTTTTGTAATCTGAGGGAAACTTGGCAGCATTTGCAAGAATGACCAGTATCTCTGTGAAAGCACGGTGTCTAAGGAGACACAATTCTATGGAAAAAACTTCTGTGGATTTAGCAAAAGGTGCTAATGCAGAGAATGGCTATACTGTGTCCTTCACTAAGCAGGGGGATGCTCACATGTGGAGAGATTTTTTTTTTTGGTAGAATGAAAAGGAGAAAGGAAGAGACTCCCAATTCTTTTAATAAAACAGGATGCATGTCCATGGTTTTATTGCCTTCATTGCCAAGACTTAAAGTGCAGAGGGCAAGTTCTGGCTCTTAACTGAGGACCTGATCCAAAGCCCATTGAACTCAGTGCAAGGTGGATTTTGGATAAGACCCAGGGAAACTAACACATCCAAACTTGTATTTTATACCAGGGTTTGTCAGCCAGGGGTACAAGTACCCTTGGGGGTATTTGGGAAGGCCCAAGGGATATGTGTGGGTGGGTGGGGACGGAGCACTGCCACCTACTACCCTGCGCCGCTGCCTCCCAGGAGCAGGGGGAGGGAGGAGGGCAGCAGTGCCCTTCTGCGGGGTGGACAGGCACCGCCCAACTGGCCAGATGCTGGGGTGGGGGGGGGAGCTCACACATGGCAGCTACCAGCACCACCAACCGCTCCACACTGTCACTGCTCCATGTGCAGCCGCTACCACCCCCTACCCTACTCTGCATCTGGCCACACACCACCCCTTCCCTCCCCACTCCACATCCGGCTGCCGGGGGTATGCTTATTAAAAAAGGTTCAAAACCCCTGTTTCACACCATGATATTAAAAGAGAACAACTGTGAGCAAATGCAATCTGTAGACAACTGCTTTCCAGGCCTGATCAAAATTGCACCGAATTCAATAGGATTCTCTCCATTGTGTTTGGATTAGATCCTTGGAGAACTTCATATTGTTTTTACTGGGATTTTACAAGGCTTCTTATACTTACATAAACCTGGGCAGGAAGCTGTGCTTACAGAGGCACAATCCCAAATTTATACAAAAATATTTGGCATCTGTTTCATATACAATTATCTAAGAGTACAGAGCTTTTGTACCCAGAACCCTGCCTACAAACTAATCTGTTTCAGGGTTCCTCTCTCTCTCTCTCTCTCTCTCTCTCTCTCTCTCTCTCTCTCTCTCTCCTGTTTATGGTAGCATCACTTTAGTGGCACTGTTGAAATAACACAAGCCATTTGAATTAAAAGCAAGCATCAAGTGAAGTGTGACTAGCTTTCAGTGCAGACTTTTTTTCTTTGCTGCTGTTTACAGATGAAATAGGCACAAGAGCTGTTGGCACTGCAGCTAGCTTAACTGGCTGAAGGCAACTAGTGAGGAAGGGAAATAGAAACATGGCATTAGTTGGCTTGTTGATCCTCTGCTTTGTGATTAGCTTTGATATGTCCCACTCTTGCCGGAACGCTGATGACTTTGTGGGTGCCAGTTCTCCTGGGGACATTGTTATTGGAGCTCTATTTGCAGTTCATAGGAAAATGCTACATCCAGATGAATACTCCATAAGACCAGTGTTTCAGAATTGTGTTGGGTGAGTAATTTTGCAAACACCACAGATGAAATACCAGAATGATTTTGCTAATATCAGTCAGGTAGATTTCAGACTAGAAGATTCAAACACTTCTCAGTAAATTGCATCTCTCAATAAACTACGTCTTATAAAGAGGTGAGTCCAAAGCACCACTCAGTGGAATGGGGTGGATAATGCATAGGGTATGGCAAAGACAAGTTCACCAGAAGATATTATGGGCCAGGTGCATTTGAGGGATGACTCTCTTTTTGTTCACTTATGTGCAGATTTAATCGAATAGTGTTGGAGCTTGAGGGTGAGCAGCCTTTGTATTTCAGTTATTGGTTTCATTTTGATTAGTTGTTATTTGCCTAAAGTACTCTGCTCTGCTATCATGTATTATTTGGAATGAAGTAGCAGTTAGAAATAAAATGGACATAGACACATTCATGGAAATATGTCCTTTTGTCTTAAACCTGAGGCAAACCATCCAATATCACTGAGAGTTTGGGGCTTGAAAAAACCCAAATTCTGAATAGAAAAACCAGTTGAAACTTTTAGGTGTTAACTGGTTTGGCTTCAGAATCATAATACAAAATTGAAGGTTTTAGCATTGGTGTAAATTTAATAAATTGTCGCAGCTCCAAACAGTTCTCTACCCCGCCCCCATTTCTGAAGATATTAATTCTAAAATTGTGTTTTTGTGGCAGTTTTGAAATTCAGGTGTTTCTTCAGACCCTAGCAATGATACATGCTATTGAAATGATCAACAATTCAACACTATTGTCTGGAATTACACTGGGCTATGAAATCTATGACACTTGTGCAGAAGTTACAAAAGCCATGGGAGCAGCTGTGAGGTTCCTGTCTAAGTTCAACACGTCCAAGAATGAGGTTGAATTCAAGTGCAACTATTCTGACTATACACCACGTGTTAAAGCCGTCATTGGAGCCAGCTACTCTGAAGTAACAATGTCAGTTTCAAGGCTACTGAATTTGCAACTAATCCCACAGGTAGAAGGAATATTATTATTTTGAATGCAGGATCAAATTAGCATTGGTATAAATAGGAAGAGCTCCAACCAAAGTAAATGGTTGCACATGTGCATGCCAGAGTTGGATTTGGCTCAAAGGCTTCCTAGGGTCTTCAGGAATCAATGGGGAAGATGCTAACCTGACAATATCATATGTATTATAGGATAGAAAGCTGCGGGACAGTGGGGCATGATGATTGTTGAAAACCATGGAACTAGTGAGCAAAGGGAAAGCGATATGAAGTCTGTTGTTTCCAGAGACATCAAGCTTGGCCTGGGGTGATTTTGCTAATGTCTTGTTCTCTGCTGCAAGAAAGATAAAGTTCTAGTTTGAACAGATTCAGGGTCTGGCCAAATTTTGCACAGGGTGGAGCCAAAGACTGCTGGAATATATGGCTCCCCGGGTTCACTGCATGCCTTCCCTAAACATCCTCAGCACACCCCACATACAGGGAGTGGAACAGGTGAGACTACTTAGATGCTGAAATCTTGGCATGCATATAAGTACCTGCCTTTGGTACTTTTGCTCCGTCAGACTAAAAGGATGGAGTTAAGGCCAGGATCTAGTATTGACCATGTTAAAGGAAATTCCTTCACACTTTAGCATGCTGCACCTGCTGCTGAAAGTACAGCATACAGCATCTTGGCTAGAAAGTAGGGTCACAGTAAAGAGATAAAGACATAGTAGTATCATGGAGTCCAGCCAACCACAGTAGTAAGTAATGGTCATGCTCCACACCCAACAGATGTAGCAAATATTAAACTGAACCCTCCGTCTGATCTTATTCAAAAGCTATCTTACAGTGAACAAAATCTTGCATTGTCACAGGCAGTGTGCGAATTAGGGGGAGGTTCGGGGGCTGAGTTCCCCCCCCCCCATAAGAGATGAGAGCCCCAATTTGAAAATCAACCTGGGGGGTGGATCTCTGATTGGATTGCTCCTTCACTTCAGTGATCTCGTTATCAATGAACCATAAGACCCAGGAGTTACTTCCCTTTCAGAACACTTCACTCCTGATAGGAGGTAGGAGATACTGTCTCTACAAACCATTCTTTCTTGTCAGCTTTAATAAGCAGAAATTAAGACTATTCTTAGCCCTGGCCTGGCCTGGTGGCTAGAACATGTTGCTGGGGAATGGGAGACGCTCTGCATGAGGAGGGCCAAGCACTCTCATTTCCCACTGCCTGGGCAAGTGTCCCCACTTTTAGGTAGACTAAAGGGTAAGTGAGTTGCTGCTCTTCCTTTCTGTTACACAGTCACTAATCATGTGCTTAACATTTGAGGGGTTGCACAGGGTAACAGGCTTTCCCTGGTAGAATAAAAAGATCTGCTGTACTGGTGTGGACCTCTTCTGAGCATGCTTAGAAAGGTAAGGTGAGGTACAGGACATCAGAGAGAGAAGAAGAGAAAGCAGGTTTTAAAAGCCAGGTAAATGCCCCCAAATGCCACTTACGCAGCCAAAGTTAGGCACCTAGTTGCCCGTACATATTCCAGGAGGCTGCGCTGATGTGCTGTGATTACAACGCCTTGGAGCAGAATTGACTAATTGAGTCTGCTGGAGCATGGTAATTAGCACACTCCAGGCAGCCTTTGCGTCTTGTGTATCAGCATCCCTGCACTTCAAAATGGCAGTGGGGGCACTTTAACTAAAGCTCGTTTGACAAGTTTTAAATAAAGCACCCCTGCCACCATTTTGAAGTGCAAGAACGCTAATACACAAGACGCTTTGGCCCTTTAATTTAAGTTCCCCACTCCCAGAGTACATGTAACAATGCCCCTAAGTATTACCTGCCTGAAAGAGAGCTCAATTAGGGTCTAGGCATCTGGCATACTTGGGAGCAGTAAGGGGTAGGGAGAAGACACAGCAGGGCCATGGAATGGCAGAGCTGCAATACAATGTTTTGGTTGACTCTGGGCTACTCAAAAAGTCTCCAAGAGTAGCCTGTGACCAGCACCTATATGGTCAGAGGCAGAAAGATGGCTTAGAGTTACCTCTATCTTTATCTGTATCAAGTTCACACTTGGAACTCCTATTGGGGCAACGCTAAGCACATTAAAAGAAAGCAATTGTACTGGCTTTGGATCTCTTAGCATCTACTCAGAATTTCTGTAACTATTTACTCTGTCTCTTTCTAGGTGAGTCAGGCATCCTCTGCTGAAATCCTCAGTGACAAAATCCGATTTCCTTCCTTTCTACGTACTGTGCCTAGTGATTTCTATCAGACAAGAGCAATGGCCCGCTTGATCCACATGTCTGGGTGGAATTGGATTGGAATCATAGCCACTGATGATGATTATGGGCGCTTTGCTTTGGAGAGCTTTGGGATACAGGCCATGGCGAACAATGTCTGTATTGCTTATAAAGTGATGTTACCAGCCTTTCTCTCTGATAGCACCATTAATGCCAAAGTTAATCAAGCATTTGAGAAGATTATCAAAGAAACCAGGGTAAATGTAATTGTTGTTTTTATGAGACAATTCCATGTGATGAAACTATTTCAAAAAGCCATTGAGAGGAATATAAATAAAGTCTGGATTGCAAGTGATAACTGGTCAGCTGCTGTCAAGGTTAGCATGATTCCCTACATCAAGCGCCTTGGAACAGTAGTAGGATTTGCATTCAAAAGTGGAAACGTATCTACATTCCATGACTTCTTGAAAACTCTGCATGCAAAGCCCATGGAAAATAACAAGTTTCTAAATGAATACATGCTACTTTTGTCTGCCTGTGCCCATGTAAAGGACCAGGAATTGAATAATTGCATTTCAAATTGCACCCAGGAGAGTTTAATGTACAAGGCTGGAGAAAACAATCAAACCTTGAAAGATGATTTTCTGATTGCCAACATTGAGCCTGGATTTATCCACAGTACTATGCTGGCAGTCCAAACTATTGCATATGCCATTCGAGAGCAGTGCCAGGACAGGAACTGCAAAAATCCCTTTGCTTTTGCTCCCTGGGAGGTACGGGTAAATTCTTCTTTGCTGCTTCTTCTATGTGTGTTCTTCATTCCCTTGTATTTCTTCCTTGCTTCTTACCCAAGTTGACCAGCCAGACACTTGTGTCTTCTCTCACTGAGTAATCTAGTCTACTTCCTGTTAAGTCCCTTCTTCTTCGTTGCCTGTATATCCATCATCCTGGATACAAAGAATTATCTAACTCAAGTGTGGCTAACCGGTGGTACACTTGCCACAAGTGGCACAGACAGCCTCTTTGTGTGTCATATGGCAGATCAGGGAGAGGGCAGGCAGCACAGCAGCAAATAGAGCAGAAAGCAGAACAGCAGATCAGGCAGGGAGCAGAATAGCAGATTGGGCAGGGAGTGCAGGAAGCAGATAACAAAGCAGCAGATCAAGTCAGGGAAGGGGATCAGAGTGTCAATCAGGGAGCTTTTGATTGAAAGTTAAAATGATTTATTTTGTGTGTGTTAATCCTGATTTCTCCTGCTGTTTCCTCTGCAAAACCATCCTCAAAATATAGATTCTAGGCAAACAGAGTGAGCAATGGGAAAACCAGACGCTATGTCTTAAGGATAGGTAAAGTACATTGCCTAAAATCTATCTGTTTTCAGGATCGTTTTGGTAAGGAAACAGAAGGAGAAATCAGACCAATAAATCTGACCTGACCTTTTTACCCAAGTACCTTGTCAGGACTTTTCACTTTTGCACACTTTTACTTAAAGAGTTAAACAAAGTTCATTCAAAAGGCAAACAAACACTGGTGCCCCCTGACCTGATGTGATTGCTTCTTCCAGAGCAGAACATGTCAAACCAAGATAGGATGTAAAGAAAACAACAAATATCAATCTCCTACATAAATGGCCAAATTCAGGCATGGGAAAAGTAGATATTATAAACTCCAGTGAATTTGAACTCTCATTATGTCTCAGTTTAACTCAAAACCTAGTGGAATAGCTAAAGACCCAGATCATGTGGAGAAAGAGATGTGACTTAACCCTTTGAACTGGTTTGAAAGTGTATCCCCCAAGAATTTATACTTAACTATACCAAAGAATATATAGATAAAATTTAGGCAGAAACTGAATCCTGGCCACAGAACCATGTACTGAGGAATGAGAACATCAGGGAAGTTTCAATCCTTGCAATAATTATTATAACTAATAATAATAAATTAGACACTTCGATCTGAAGTTCTCATAACCAGTAATGAACTGGGAAAGAGGGGGAGAGATAACCAGGGGAGCTGCCCCAGGCACTGCCTTTGTAGTGGGACACAAAAATAGCCACTGCTGTGGCAGACTGCACTGTTGCCATTGGCACCATGGCAGCTGGCACTGCCCTGTACATTGCAGCTGCCCTGCTACGCTTCAACTAAAAATGTATTGTAAAACTCTCTTATTGTGTCCCCTTTTGAAACCAATGATACACCTGAAATACAAAAGGTCACATGATGTGCCCAGGGACATGGAATAGAAATTCTGCACAATGGTTATAATCTCCTGTTCCATCTTATGCCATGACTATTGGAGTAGACTATGTCCAACTGGAATGTAAATGTACAAATTAGAACCCCATTTAGACACCCATGTAAAATGGAGGAAAATAAGATGTGGATGACTTCGTTAATAAAATAAATGATGTTTGTTCTCATGGCTCAGTTTCATAGCCATGGCATTTGTGGATGGCATTATGCTATAATGATGTAATAGTCTATTTCAAAAACATGGCTTCCAAATCAGGACTCCAAAGAGATGGGGCTTTTCAGTAGACTTGAACTGAACCATCCACCCAGACCTCATTCTACTGACATTAATTTAACCTTTCACACCTAAAGTTTTTACGCATGCCAGGTAAAGTAGGTAAAATTTCTGTCTAAACTAAGAAGCATGGAATCAGTGACTGTAATATTACTTACAGGTCCTGTCCTCTGAGACAATGATGAATGAATGATGGGTGCCTTAACAAACCTTTAATTTGAGGGTGGAAACAGACTTTGCCTTTGTGCTGCCAGAACATTTTTTATGGCAGAACAAAAGCCAAGCAAACAGATGGCAGTGCCTGCTGTCGTGCCACAAATGCCCATAGTTTGTGGCAGCAACACAGGTGGTAATAGTTTCTGCTGCTTTATTGCAGCAGATGTTTGCTTGCTTTATGCACAAGCTTGGGCAGCCCAGAGATGCTTGCACTTTCCAGGTGCCCCAGGCAGGCACCCCTGTGGCTTGAAGCCCCAGATCCTATGTGCTCTGACAGTTCCCATACAGGATTGGGCCCTTCAATCCCCTAGAGACTCTGCTCAGCTTTCCCCTATTACAGAGACACACCCTGGGAAATCTCTTTGTAAGCAGGGAATCCCAGCTTTCTCTGCTTACAGTGACACACCGCAAAGATTCCTTGGGGCACATCTCTGTAGGTGGCGAAACTGGGTTTCTAAGTTTAGAGATGTGCCCCAGGTAATCTCCAAAGCACATCTCTAAGCTGGGTTTCCTCACTTAGAGATGCACTCTGGGGAATATCTGAGCTGTGTCTCTAAGAGGGAAAAATTGGGGTTCCCTGCTTACAGAGACCTGCTCTAGAGATTGCCAGGGGCACATCTCTGCAAGCAGGAAACCCTGGCTTCCCCCTCTTCCAGAGACACACTGGAGAATCTCTGAGGTGTGTCTCTGTAAGCAGGGAATGTGTTCTTCATTGTCCCACAGGATCAGGCCCCTGTCTGGTGCACAACAATAGGCAAAGTGTATTTTGCTCATTGAAGTGAACACATCCTGCCATAGCTGATCCACTTCATTAGACAATACCGGTTTATAGACTGAATTTCTGTGATGAGAAAGAGTTAAAATGTTATCCTGAGATAATCAGACCAGTGTTATACTATAAAACCAATTCATTGTCTTAATACAGCACTTCTGTTCTGATACTCCTTCTAGCATACAAAATACAACATTGTCAGCTGTTGTCGGGCAATTCAGCTTCCATAATATGAATTAAAAAGAATCACATAGGGCTGTGGTGTCAATCTTAACTGGCCCTCCAGGCCACATATAAGCTACTAGGCTCCTTACAGGCCAGATCTGGACCTACTAGTGGTGGTGAGGCAAGTGGCAGTAGCACAGGGGCTAAGGTAGCCATTACTGCCCCCTACATGTGTTTCCGAGCTACATGCATTTCCAACAGGGCTCTGTACCCAGGAATTGGCCACAGGCATCATCCCTACTCACCCTGCCTTGGAATTCTTGGCCTCTCCAGGAGCCTCACAGCCTAGATGAAATGGCTTTGCAGGCTGGATCCAGCCCAGGGGCTGTATTTTTGGCACCCCTGACATACGCTATTTATCATAGAAATATGGATTTGAAGCTCTGGCAGCTCAACAGACTTGCAATTCTGGTAGTTTCACAAATCTAGAAGCAAAGAACCTTGTCCAAGAAAAACTTTTTTCAATTTAACAAATATTCTGTGTGAAATGTTACCCACTAAGTCTTCTAATGTTTAAAGCACAGGACCAGATAAGAGATGCAGAAGGTGCTGATTGCTATATAATGCTCAAATCAGAAGGAGCCCACTATTCAAAAGGCATTTCTAATTTTGGGTATCTGGCCTGAGGCAGCCAGAGTCTAATATTCAGTGTTGTTGAATTTTGAATTATCTAAGGCTCAGTCCCTGTAGAAAAAGACCAAGTGTCTCTAAACCTAAGCATCTAGAAAACTGAGGTACCCAAATGGATAGGCTACTTTTGAAGTGTTAGGACTCAAGTTCTTTGTAACTTAGGCCCCAACGCTCCTTTCATGTACACCAGTGAAATTTAGAAGTATTTCCCCTAAACTGCACACTTAGACCAGGGAGTTACCATTATATTTGTACACGTGACAAAATAAATTGACCTAATCAATGTGTTTTTCGAAAGAATAGTTCCTTGATTTTGTTCATACAGAATGTGGAAAAGCACAAATATTTTAATGACTAGCAAGAATATTAACTTCAAATATCCTTCCGAGCTCTAGGCATTAGGTGACTCATCCTAAGAAGAAGAACAGTTTCAAAAGCTAAGGCTTCATACAGACTTGAACATTATCAGAGCTTTGGGTAAGATTAGGTCTGGATCCAATTTAAATCCAAACTTAGCCCATCTCTAGGTTGAATGTAGCCGCACAACGGCAGCTGGCATCAGGGCAGATTTTCTACAAAAGGAATCATTCTGAAGGCCTCTTTATCCCTTTTCAGCACGTAAAACTACATTTTTAGGACCATAAATCAATATATCTTAAGGCCATAGAGGCTGCTTTTGTTATCCAGTCTTATCTCCTGAATCACGTCATTTTATGGGAAAAGGCCAAACTAGAAAATTGTAATGGTCCCTTCTGACTTTAAAATCCCTATACACCTAAAAACAAGTAATGTTTTTATCTACATGTGGCCATATAAAAAGATCAGCTGTTCCAAGTTGAAATGGTATTGACGTGTGCCATGTTTCTTATTTATAGCTTCTTGAAAAACTGAAGAAAGTCAAAATAACTGACAGTGAAAAAGAAGTTCATTTTGATGTCAAAGGAGACATGAACACTGGGTATGATGTGCTCCTCTGGAAGGAAATCAATGGGCAGATGGAGATCACCAATATGGCTCAATATGACCTGCAGAAAGATTATTTTATCTTCCCAGATGAAGAGAAAAAAACTGAATTTGTGAATTTAAAGGTATTTGGCACACATGCTCTTAGTTTGTCAAACAGTGGTGTGTAGAGTTGCATATCTTCCTCTGGCAGTATCTTGCACTTCTAGTGTGTATTAACAATTAATCGTTTATGGGCTTACTATTACTAACAAAGATTCCTCCTAACTCTTAGGGCTCAACTGTCCCATTACTTTTATTAAAATTCTGCCACCCTCATATACACTAAGTAGGATTTGAATGTGAGAGCAAACTCACAGTTTTCAATTGAACTATATCTCAAATTCCTCCATAAGATGTTTCCCTATCAGTTTACCCATTATGTCTGTCATAAGGATTATGCATAAGAACTTTAAAGTATTGTTCTAATAGAACAAGTCACTATATAGGAACATCATTTTTATAGCACATCCTTTTTTTCTTTTTCAGTATTAGGGGTCTTATATCATCAAGTTGGTCCTATTATATAATCAAGTTGACCCTGCAGGGTCAGCACAGCTAAAAGCAAGTGAGTTAGATTGCATTTCATTTCCTGTATTATCCTACTGCCATAGTAGCACTGTATAGCAGTTTCAACCATTTCCATCTGTCCATTCTCATTTCTTTCAGTGCCATTACACAGAGATTATAACTTGATTGTGCAACTGTGATTGAACACTATTCTGTCCTACAAAATTGTTATTACTGATAAGGCAATGCAATTTCTCTTGGGAGAGTTGCTGCTCTTCTAGGAGAAACCACAAGTGTATACATGTTCATGCTTTTTCTCCCAGAGTGAAAATGGCTGCTCCAGGAGGAAAATAACCTAGGAACAACCTGGGTTAAATCACTCCCAGGACAGTAAATGTCTGTACATGCTTTGGCTTCTCTCAGGAGAGAAAATAATCCTCCAGAATCCCTCTTCCCCCCTGCCTACAAAGACAGTGTGTCTCTTGCTAGACTTTGCTTCTCCAGCAAAGAGCAGAACATGGCCCTTCACAATCCCCACATTGTGCTTCAGGGAAACACAGGCTGACCATGGGTAGTCTGGGTCAGGCAATCAGGACTGGTATATGCACTACTAACATCTGTTGCCAGACAGACTAAGGGAACCTGCAAAGCATGATAAGATGTATGCACAGGGTCCCCCCTGTCTACACAGTGGCAGCACTGTGGGATCTCCACTCTCTAGGGCAGCAGTTTTCAAACTGTGGGGCACACTCCCCTGGTGGGGGGGGGGTGGTGAAGGAACATGATGGGGCTAGGCACAGTGCAAGGGGGCACGGGCAAGAAGTTTGCAAGAAAGTGGTGCCACTGCAGCCTCACGAGGGAATATGGCATCTGTGAGCCCCAGTCAGGCTCCTCCAGCAGGCTGCTACACCTCTGGGAGCCCGATGTGGCAGGGGGACAGCCTAAAGCTTCAGTGGGGCCATTGCAGGAAGCACTGGAGTGGCAGCAGGTGGAGCCCACCCCACTGAGCCAAGCCGAGCCCAAGTGGCTGCTAGGATGAGAGGTGCCCTGTGCCTGACTGCACTGCTTCAGGGGGTGGGGGAAGGGGGGAAGCAGGAATGTAAACAGAAGTGTAACTCAAAGGGGGGCTCAGCTCAGAAAGTTTGAAAACTGCTGCTCTAGGGTCTCAGTACTCAAATATCTGTACACACTGCTCTGGGTAAATTTTTCTACCAGGAGAACAAAACTGGAAGAATTCTCCAGGATTATTGGAATGTATGTACCTAGCCTATGATAAAAGAAGGGAAAGACAGAAGCCTGCATGAGGTTAAGGATCAAATGTTTAAAATCAGCAAAATCCTGAATCCAATACGGATTTAGGCACCTAAAATGTATGCAGTTCTCCACTCAGCAGGTTAGACTTTCATGCAAGGCTGGATGCAGGGGTTTCTACCACCTGTGAAGCAGAGTCTGCATCCCTGAAGGCCAGCATCTCTGCCTTTTCTTTTATTCTTTTATTTTAAAACATGGCCAGAGAAAAGCAGCTGTACTTTTTGGAAGTAGTTTAAGGTTAAAGCATTCACAAAGGAAGTGGGAGATCCAGGTTTAACATTGTCCTCAGAATATTTCTGTATTCCTCGTTAAGCTGTCATTCAATAAAATACAGATGCAGTCCTTGGAACAGAGACAAACTTTGTCCTTTTTCAGCTAAGTGCCCTAAATACCAAGTTACAGAGAGTGGTGTCCTTTTGCATCATCTGTCCTGTTCTCTCTTTGTGACCAACAAGTTGGTTTCTACATACCTTTAACAAGATGGCTGAGGAACATTCCTCCCGTCCTGCATAACCTACAGCCTGGTACTAAGGGCATTCCTCTGGGGAGGTGGGAGATTTGGATTTGAATGTCTCAAGCTGTTAAGGGAATTGAACTTGAGTCTGCCATGTTGTATCACCACTGGAATAATATATAAAATAGAACACTGCCCCTAAATTTTGTGTGGAGCCCAGCCCTGTAGTTGTATGCTGTGGTCTGGAAATGCCTGCCAAATCAAACCCTTGGATGGTGGAAGTTCTAGGTGCAGCTTCAGGTACTTGGGCAACTTTTAAGTCATAAAGATGCCTATGTACTTTAAATGCCTCTAGAAACAGGAATTGGTTGAACAAGAGTTTTCATAATTGCAATATGGATGTAGATGCCTGAATTCCTTCTAAAATTCCATTGAAAGCATGGAAGTGTTAGAAACCTAAGTCCATTTTTAAAAAGGCAGAGGCCAGATCCAGACGTGCAGGCACATGTGGTTTGTGGCACCACAGACCTTTTTGTGGCACCACAGACCACATGCCTACCACATTAAAATGTGCCCTGCACTGCAAATTTGCAGCACAGGGGAAAAATTTACTATCAGGAAATCCCAGGAGCAAAAAACCAAAATGCTGCAAAAAAAGCAGTGCAGCACATACCACAGGAGTGTGCACTAGCAGACGCAGTGTTGGCCAAAGGGTCTCCCCTCTTCTAGTTCCACCCTGGCTCCTCCAGCACGTTGGGAGCTGGAAGGAGTGGGGAAATGGCAGTTTCTCCAAAACAAGGCACTTTACTCTGCACTAAAGTACACGTGCAGGGTGTGTGCAGCTTTGTGCTGCTAATTTTTGCCACTGCAAAAGCAAACCCCTGCATGTGGGGATACACCCAAAGTCATTATTTAGGCACCTAACTTCTACTGATGTGAACTACCTGACTAGGAATCTGCATAAAAATCAATGGGACTTGAAATCTTTTCAAAATCTGCCCACTGTTTTACTGGTAAAGCACTGAAATCCAATTAGCATGGAATCCCACACTGGAAAGTTATAGAGTTCTTTGCAGGATCTTTGAAACATCTTTTAAGTTCAAAAGCTTGATCCAAATGTAGAATGAACTGAATGTTGTTTATTCTAAATGGAAAGTGTTCTCAGGAATTAATTGTGCTTGGGCTGCTTTTTTGTTTGTTTTCTCCACAACATTGCAGAAATTTCGGTCAAAATGTTCCCAGGAATGCAGGCCAGGGCAAGTGAAGAAGGTTACAGCAAGTCCACATACATGCTGCTATGAGTGTGTGTATTGCCCAGAGAACCATTACAGCAATCAGACAGGTAAAGAACTGCGAGTCAAATAAAGAGATCCATACAGTTGTTTTAAGTATATACAGCTATGTGCCTTGGTAACTGGAAAATAATTTTGTAATGAGCAAAATATATTTGTATATGTTTACATGATTTTAAAAAAGCAATTGTATGTTCCAAAGATAAAGCAGCTAGATGCCCCAGCCAGTCA